GCACGCCAGCCTGCTGGAATTGAGCAGTGTGAGCACTTTCGATTAGTTGCAAATTTTCTCAACAAAACCACCTACTACATTATTATAAGTAGTATTTAAATATCGTATTGCATGTGTTAATGTGCCATATTTATCCCTCTCAGCTTCTCCTGAACAGTTTGCTGGCTAAACTGGAATCTGGGAAGAATTACATCCGCAGAGCAGCGGCAGATATTGTCGTCTCCACGGTTATTCATTCACGCCTACCTCGAGAGCTTGCCTACCGTCTCCTGCAACAATTGGCGGGTAAGTGGTTTGTGCCAGCAGGTTTCTTTTTCAATTAAACTACCCGCCTGGCGCGCATCTCACCTACCACCTTTTAGCCAAATGTTATCGGGCTTAGACAGTGTTATTTGAATCAACTTTATAGACAGCGCCTTGCGTCCAAGTTGACAAAATGCGAGTTATCGTAAGCGTTCTGTCTAACGAAGCAGACTATGAATCCGCGTCTGAGCAGTCAAAATAAGTTACTGAAAGGGGACTTTCCAGTTAGATGCAGTATTTGCTTCTGTCTACCGCTTTCATTAATTTAATGCTCGAATGTCCAGCATATGTGTATGGGATCCGAGCCAGGTGTGAGAGCGGCTCTGGTCGCGCCAGCTATCTGCGCCCTCTTCCTCTGTAAGTACCAACTCCACCCGCACTGAGGACGGTGCTGCCATTCAGAAGGAGGCTGTGAAACGAAACACAACTTACACAGAGCGGTTTGGAGGCACTAGGATCACTTCTCGCGCGGATCCCAGATGCGGATGGTCTGATCGTTTGTCGACGAATATAACCGATGTTCCTTCCTTCCCTCCCTACCGTTATCGTTCCGTCTCACATGCCTCTTGCCGTCAGCACAAGTACGTTAGCGCACAAGTCAATCAGAAGAAAGAGGAGCGTTCACTGGGAGAGGTTTATTATAAGTCTGACGTTTCGGGTAGTTGTCTCGTCTATCCATCCTCAGAGAATGGATACTCTGGCTCATGGTCCTTGTCTTTATGTCGCTCTTTCTTCCATGTGTGTGTTCTATT